GGAGCCATCTTTGGTGGTGTCCCACTCTCAGGGATCCTTTTCTCTTACTATAGAATTGTGTCCTCCATTCTGAGAATCCCATCATCAGGTTCAAAATATAAAGCCTTCTCCACCTGCGGCTCTCACTTGTCAGTTGTTTGCTTATTTTATGGAACAGGCCTTGGTGTGTACCTCAGTTCCGCTGTGTCATCTTCCCCAAGGAAGGATGCGGTGGCCTCAGTGATGTACACTGTGATCACCCCCATGCTGAACCCCTTCATCTACAGCTTGAGGAACAGAGACATCAAGAGTGCCCTATGGAGGATGGTCCAAAGAATAGGCTGATCTCAATACTTGTGCTATCATTTTTGTTCATAGGACTGGGAAAAGCAGCAAAATCAAACATATGCAACCATAAATTCTGAATCAGCAGTCACACAGTGAAGATGTGCCTATATAAGTCTTTGCTTTCTGTTTACACACTTTTCCCTTTTAGCACAGCTGTAATGAAATTGGGAGATTATTTTGGACTCCTACTTAAGTCATAGCCCCTCCAGGATTATGCATAGTACATTGGTATACCCTTCTCACTTTCCTTAAGCATTACCCAGGACTCTCGGCCATGAGGAGTCTTGTTTCTATCATTATAAATAGAGAGCAAGTAGACAGATATGGGGAGGGGGGCATAGTGGCGGTGTGTGTGTCGGGGGGGGGGGGGTTGAGCAAAAAAGAGGGAGAACTCATTGGCATGGACAACAGTGTGGAAATGATGGGGTGGAGGGGTGTGGATGGAGATGATAGAGTGCATATGGGGGATGAATGCTGTTGGGAAAAATAAAAGAAATGAAAAAGAAAAAAATCATAGCTCTCTCTTTCTTGTTATTTATTCGTTCTATACTGTCCTCATGATTCTTCTCTCTTCTTCCATATTTTTGCTCCTTCATGATCTTGGTCAGATCCTTGAGAAAAATGAGATGTCTATTTAATTTCTTGTCCAGACCATGGTATTTTGAAATTGACATGGGACAGCATCAGTACTGAGTTTGAATAAATAGTTATCAACTGGGGCTTTCCTAGCAAAACTGGGATATATGATTCCCAATATTCCTGATAATTCTTTTTCCCATTCCATTTAACATCTTCGCCATCAATTACATAGCCAGGCATGAAAGGACAAATACTGTATAATTCCACTTATATGAGGCACCTAAAGTAGTCAGATTCATAGAGACATAAAGTAGAATAGTGGTTGCCAGGTGGCAGCAGTAACTGTGAGAGGCAAGGTAGATAGATGATTGAACAACAAATCCACAATGGCAACTGGGGTCCAAGAACTACAGGGATCTGTGATGGTGTCAACATATCATAGAGGAGCAGACATCAAATATATTGCTTAACTTGAGAGAACCAAAAATATCAAGGGCAAGTTAGAAAAAGTCACATGTCAGCTACCACAATTGAAAACCATTTATTCATCTTCTAATTTCCAAACCCAAGTCTGTTTTCAGACTCAAATCCTAGAGATCAATGGGGATTCTGTTCCTGCTTTTTGGAAGCCAATTATATGGTTCTTTGAAATGGAAATATCCCTCAAGAACACCACTTGGTGGTAAGATGATTCCATTAGTGGATGATTCCATGGAGTGGGCAGTGATTCATCTTACCGAGATGAATACTTACACATTTATGTTTGTTTTTCCTGTCTGCATTCCTTAGCAAATACCACCACCCAAAGACTTAAAACATCCAATTTCTTTATGGTGAAGAAGATATGCAAATAAACATGACATATCAGGAGATCCAGATGTCCTAACATACCCTATATCCCCCAAAGCCTCTCAGCATTATATACATAGAGTGGCAATTCTGTGGCTCAATTATTGCTCTTCTGAATTATAATACAGTGCTCTGTCCTGAAATCATACTTAGAGATATGTCCCTTTCAGCCAGATTTTGTCATTCTTTGGACTCTTCTATTTGAGTCTTGGTGAATTCACCTACAAAATTAGACTAGACTGAATAACTTACTAGCACCTGATCAAATATAATATTCAGGGTCCTATAGTTTTCCAATCTTCACTGATACATTTTTATATCTTATTTTGAAAATGAACTAAGCAAACATATGGAGAAAAGTTCAACCTCACTAATAACCAAATAAATAATGAATCCATTGGAATATTTTCTGTTGGACATATAACATTATATGATAAACTCTGAGACATGATTTAAGTCCTGTGAGGGCAAAGTTTTAATCTTTTTTTCTTCTTCACTGCTGTATTCCCAACACCTACAACAGCATGGCACACCAAAAGTACTCAATAATTATTGTTGAATGAGTAACTCTAGTAAGAAGTAACAATGGTTCTCAATAAAATGCACTATGTTGTAATTCTTATTCAGCTGTTCTTAGTTGATTCTTGAAGTGGCTGGTCTCGACCTGCAGGGCTGGAAATCCAAGCTGAGGTGCAATAATGGATAAGTAAAAGGAAAGTATGAGGAGAGTAGAACTGAGCATAACAGAGGAGTCACCATAAGGGGTTAAGACAGAGCTTAAAAGACAATTGTAACCAAAGTCACTTACAGAGAATTGGATGAGAGGCAAAATCCAATGTGATTAAGAGGTGGGATTTCTTTAGCCAACTGCTGCTTCCACTGTCAGCCTAAAATCCCCAGACGAATGTTCCCATTTATTGAACACAGAATGTTCTCCCCAGAACTTTTTGCAGGGCCCTCTTCATGTCCCTGTTCCGCAGGCTATAGATGAAGGGGTTCAGCATTGGGGTGACCACAGTGTACATCACCGAGGCAATCATGCCCCTCCAGGAAGATGCATTAGAACTGAGATACACACCAAGGCCTGTCCCATAGAATAAAGAAACCACAGACAGGTGGGACCCACAGGTAGAAAATGCTTTATATTTCCCACCTGCTGATGGGATTCTCAGGATTGAGGAGACAATTTGAATATAGGAGCAAAGGATGCCTGAGAAGGGAATAATGCCCAGAAGGCCAATCACCGTATACAGCACGATGTGATTGATGAGTGTGTCTGAGCAGGCGAGCGTGAGGGCCTGAGCAAGTTCACAGTAAAAGTGTAAAATCGCCCAGTTGGTACAGAAAGACAGCCGCAACATCAACAGACTCTGGATCAGGGAGTACGTGAAGCTAATGAACCAGGACACAAGAACCAGCTGGCCACAGAGACGGGGGTTCATGATGACTGGGTAGTGTAAGGGGTGACAGATGGCCACAAACCAGTCATAAGCCATCACAGTGAGGAGAAAAGTGTCCATACCTCCAAAAACCAAGAAAAAATATATCTGGGTGATGCAGCCTGCATAGGTGATGGCTTTGCTGTGTGCCTGGATGTTCACCAGCATCTTCGGGACGGTGGTGGAGGTGAAACAGATGTCAACAAAGGACAGGTTGGAGAGGAAGAAGTACATGGGCGTGTGGAGGTGGGGGTCAGAGCTGACGGCTAAGATAATGAGCAGGTTCCCGAGCATGATGACCACAAACATGGACAGGAACAGCCCAAACAGGATGGGTTGATGCTCCAAGTCTTGGGAAAATCCCAGAAGTAAAAAATCTGAAACACTTGTTTGATTTCCTGGTTCCATGTTGCTGACACATCAGCTAGATGTTTGAGGAAAGAAAATAACATGAAATAGACACTGGGCAGACTCTAGATTACTTCTACTTTAAAAAATTTTTGAAGTCAATCACTGGGCATAAAAGCCTTAACTACAAAATTTAGGAATTCATTATTCTGCTATTTGTTATATGCAATATTTTGTAATGTTGATCAACCCTTGCCCATTATCCTCTGGAACACTCATACATCTTCTTCATCTCTGGCTTAGCATTATCTCTAAACAGTTAAGAGCAACTTTGGGCCTCAGAGAAGAAATGGTTGTACTCACTCTAACACAAATGTGGAGCATGAGGTCTGGGGAAGCTCAGTAACTTGATCTGGGTTGTCTGCCTTCTCTGGGACTCAGAAAAGGAGGTAGATCTCAGAGGTAGGAAAATTTGACAGTATCTCAAATATCTGGACAGAGTATTGGAGGATGAGTAGAATGTAGGTTTACTTCTCAAGGAAAAGAAAAACGAAAAACAAAAGAAAATATTTTCACCAAATAAGAAACCACATTCACAAATGCTTAATGTTTAATCTACCAGGGACCAGTAACACCTTGTAGGAATAGAGCCAGATGCTTCCTGGACATTTGTCATTTGACCAAATACCCTTCATCTGTGAAGTTAAGAGATTGGTTAAAATGCACAAGGAAAGCCCTAACTGGTTTGGCTCAGTGGATAGAGCATTGGCCTGTGGACTGAAAGGTCCCAGGTTCAATTCTGGTCAAGGGCATGTATCTTGGTTGCGGGCACATCCCCAGTAGGAGATGTGCAGGAGGCAGCTGATCGATATGTTTCTAACTCTCTATCCCTCTCCCTTTCTCTCTGTAAAAAATTAATGAAAATATATTTTTAAAAAATGCCCAAGGCAAGAGCAGATTTCAAGGCTTAAACCATTGCAGGACCCTAAGGCACAACTACAAAGGTCATGCAATACACAATTTTGAGTCATGTCACCTACACTATTCATTGAATACTGGGGGAAGGATAAATTCCACCAGGATTTTCACATATGAGCTTGAAAGGATGAGATTCAGATTTGGCACACCCATGCTAGCGCTGCTTAGAATGGGCTGGGAGCATGGAGACACTCATCCAGAGCCCATCTACCCTCTGACTCTCTTCACTCCAAGTCCTAAGGGTCTTGTAACCAAGGAATGGGTCCTATAACCAGGGACAAGGAACAGCATAACAGCATACATGGATCTTCAGTGTTCCGTTTTACCTTGTTATAAGTATTTTTCTGCACTTTCTATTCCGTAATTCCCCTAACCACAAGAGAGACCACCATTGGCTGTCATCACTGTCAGTCTTCTTTAGTATAAAAATCAAAGTGGGAGGGTAGGGGTTCAAAAGGGACAAACTTACTGTACTGCATTTTTGAAAGTTACTAAAAGAGTAGATCTTAAAAGTTCCCATCACACAGACACACAGAAGAATGTTTGTAACTATTTATGGTAAAGGATGTTAGCTAGACTTATTGTGGTGATCATTTTGCAATATATACAAATAATGAATCATTATGTTATATGCTTGAAACTAATATAATGTTACATGTCAATTATATCTCAATTTTTAAAACCACAAAGCAGATAGTGTCTCTAGGTGGTATAAAAATGGCCATATCAGATGCAATTTTTAGCAATGGATGAATATCTTTGTTTGACCCTTTGAGGGAGTGGCGGTTTGCAATAATCTCTGGT